CCTGGAGACAAGTGAAAACGAAAACACAAAATGCCAAACATTATGGGATGCAGTAAAAGCAGTACTAAGAGGGAAGTATATAGTAATACAGGCCTACCTCAAGAAACAAGAAAAATCTCAAATAAACAAGCTTACACTACAACTAAAAGAACTAGAAAAAGAAGAACAAATGAAGCCCAAAGTCAGTAGAAGGAAGAAAATGATAAAAATCAGAGTGGAAATAAGTGAAATAAAGACTAAAAAGATAATAGAAAGGATTAACAGAACTAAGAGCTGATTCTTGGAAAAGATAAAATTGACAAACCCTTAGCTAGACTCACTAAGAAAAAGAGTGAGAAGGCTCAAATAAATAAAATTAGAAGTTAAAGAGGAGAAATTACAACAGATACCACAGAAACACAAAGGACTATAAAAGGATTATAAGGGAATACTATGAAAAATTATAGGCAAACAAATTGGATAACATTGAAATGGATAAATTCTTAGAACCATGCAACCTCCCAGATATTCATATAGAGAATCTTAATAAAACACTCAGAACTAGAGATTGAAACAGTAATAAAAACTTCCCATAAAACAAAAGTCCAGGACGAGACAGCTTCTCTGGTGAATTCTGCCAAGCACTCAAAGCAGATTTAATATCTAGCATTCTCAACCTCTTCCAAAGAATTGAAGAGAATGAGATGCTTCCTAACTCATTGTACGAGGCCAATATTACCCTGCTCTCAAACCCAGTCAAGGACAACACAAAATAGGAAAATAACAGGCCAATATCGCTGATGAACATAGATGCAAAAATCCTCATGAAAATATTAGCAAATCACATACAACAATGCATTAAAAGGATCATGCACTATGATCAAGTGAGATTTATTCCGGTGATGCAGGGATGGTTCAACATCTGCAAAGCTATCAATGTGATACTCTACATTAACAAAATGAAGAATAAAAGTCACACGATCATCTCAATAGATGCGGAGAAGGTTTTTAATAAGATTCAACATCCATTTATGAAAAAAACTCTAAATAAAATGGATAGAGAAGGAGAGTACCTCAACATAATAAAGGCTATACATGACAAGCCCACAGCTAACATCATATTCAACAGAAAAACTGAAAGCTATTCCTCAAAGAACAGAAACAAGACAAGGATGCCCACTCTTGCTCCTTTTAATCAAAATAGTATTGGAAGTCCTAGCCAGAGAAATTAGGCAAGAAAAAGAGATAAAAGTCATCCAGATTGGAAAGGAAGAAGTAAAACTGTCACTATTTGTGGATGACATGATTCTATGTATAGAAAACTCTAAAGAACGCACCAAAAAACTATTAGAAATAATTAACAAATACACTAAAGTTGTAGGGTACAAAATGCACACATAAAAATTGGTTAAATTTCTATACACTAATAACAAAGCAGAAAGAGAAATCAAGAATACAATCCCACTTACAATTGCAACAAAAAGAATAAATACCTAGGAATAAATTTAACCAATGAGGTGAAAGGTCTATACACTGAAATCTATAAGAAATTATTAAAAGAAATTGAAGAAGACATTAATAAATTGTAAGTTATTCTGTGCTCATGAATTGGAAGAATAAACATCATTAAAATGTCCGTATTACCTAATTCGATCTACAGATTCAATGCAGCCCAATCAGAATCCCAATGACATTTCTAACAGAAATAGAACAAAGAATCCTAAAACTTATACGGAACAACAAAAGACTTCTAATAGCAAAAGCAATCCTTAGAAAAAAGAACAAAGCTGGAAGTATCACACTCCTTAATTTCAAAATATACTACAAAGCTATGATAATCAAAACAGCATGGTACTGGCAGAAAAACAGACACATACATCAATGGAACAAAATTGAGAGTCCAAAAATAAATCCACACATCTACGGACTCCTAATTTTCAACAAAAGAAACAAGGACATACAATGGAGAAAGGAAATTCTCTAAAATAAATGGTGTTGGGAAAACTGGACAGCCAGATGCAAAAAAGTGAAAGTAGACCATTATCTTATACCATTCACAAAAATTAACTCAAAATGGATTAAATACATGAATGTAAGACTTGAAACCATAAAACTCACAGAAGAAAACATAGGCAGTTTGCTCTTTGACATCAGTCTTACTAGTACCTTTTCAAATATCATATCTCTTCAGGCAAAGGAAACAAAGGAAAAAACAAACAGGACTAGATCAAACAAAAAGCTTTTGTACGACAAAGGAAACCATCAGCAAAATGAAAAGACAACCCACCAACTGGAAGATATTATTTATAAACCATCTGTCCAATAAGGAGTCAATATCCAAAATATATAAAGAACTCATACAACAAAAAGTGAACAACCTGATCAAGAAATGGGTGGAGAATATGAACATACATTTTTGCAAAGAAGATATATAGCTGGCTTACAGATGCATGAAAAGACATTCAATGTCACTGATTATTAAGAAAATGCAAATCAAAACTACAATGAGATATCACCTCATACCCATCAGAAAGGCTATTATTAAAAATAAAAGAAATAACATGTGTTGGAGAGGATTTGCAGAAAAGGGAACTCTCATTCACTGCTGGTAGGAATGTAAATTGGTGTAGCCACTATGAAAAGCAGTATGGAAGTTTCTCAAAAGATTAAAAATAGAACTGCCATATGATTCAACTATTCCACTTCTGGGTATTTATCCAAAAAGCATGAAAACAGTAATTCAAAAAGAAAAATGCAGCCCTATGTTTATTGCAGCAATATTCACAATGGCCAAGACTTAGAAACAACCCAAGTGTCCAAGAAACAATGGATAAATGGATAAAGAAGATGTAGTGTATATATAAAAATATATATTATACATTATATATTATGCATGTATATACATATATATATATACAGTATATATGTATAATACATTATGTGTATATATATATAATGGAAAATTACTCAGCCATAAAAAAGACAAAATCATGCCATGTGTAACAACATGGATGGACCTTGTGAGTATTATGCTAAGTGAAATAAGTCAGACGGAGAAAGACAATTACTACAGGACTTCATTCATCTGTGGAAGATAAACAAACAAGCACATAGATGTGGAGAACAGATTGGTGGGTACCAGAGGGAAGGGGGTGAGGGGAGGGCGAAACAGGTAAAAGGGCACATATGTATGGCAATGGATGGAAACTAGACTTTTGGTGGTGAACAGGATGCAGCCTTTATAGAAGTCAAAGTATAATAATTTATACCTGAAATTTACATAATGTTATAAAACAATGTGACCTCAATTAAAAAAAAAAAAGAATGACAAGGATGCCTTTCACCTGTGGAAGAGCCTGTCTTTAAACGTCTTTCATGTCCGTAGAAGGGAGCACTTAAAAATCTTTGAAAGACCTGATGGAACAGTACCCTACTTGGAAACATCTAGCTTTTGTATATGAGCTTGGCTTTTCTGTGTCTCAGTTTCTTCTTCTGTGAAGTGGAAATAGACGTTCTGGAGGCAGGAGAGGATTAAGACAAGATGTAGAGGCATCTTGGGGAGGCAAGCACGTAAGCATCATTTGTTTATGTCATTCCGGCAGGAGCGGTCAGCAATGAGAATACATTACACAGTCATATTTTATACATTCAGCATTTTTAGAACCATGAAGAGTTCCAATATAAAGGAATTTTGATATGAACCAAAGATTAATCTTCTAAACATCAAAATTTCACATTTTAAGCTCAAGCTCTTTCTACAATGTATCGCACACATCTTTCCTGTCTTAAATGATGTGTATTGCCTATTATTTAAAATGTTACTGATGATTCAAGGTCATAATTTAAAAAAACACTTTTATTTGGAAATAGTCTCAAGCTTTTGATGGTTTTCTTTGGAATGCTGTATTATAGAAACGGGATAGTATAGATGTTTAATGCAACATATTAACTGTTAAACTACTGTTTCAACAAATCTCTTAAGCAGGAAATGTGACCACTTATGGATATGTAAATAAATTACTAGAAAGGTTTAAAAATGAGTAGAGTAAAAGCTGAATTCCTCTACAGCTTAATTCTCTGTAATTTCTATTTTAAGTCTCCCCTGAACACCAAGCCACAAATTAGTGTGATATTTTTAGAGACCTGTCAATTCAAGATTAAATATTCTCATCTTTCGCTGCATAATTATGGCAAACCTCATTGATGTCTCATCAAAGTCTTCGGGAATTTACATGTAATGAGAAGCCATGACTGCATCCTAGTTATTAGTCTTCTGTAATTTTTATTATGAATCATTTCCAAGCAGATAGGACATGCTGAGTGCTTCAAAGGCTTCTTTCATTGTGGAGTTTAGATCATTTTCTAGGCTTTTGCATGAGGGAATTTTATTATCTGGCTTCTTCCCCTGCATGATCTAACAGCACATTAGGTCTTCCATCCTTACTTCTGAGACAGAGATATATATATACATATGTATATAATGTTTTATTAAATATTATCAAATTATTTCCTTTAAACAACAAAAACATTTTCATATGTCAGCAATCAAGTAATCATAATATGATGCACAGATTTAGCAAGCAGCTATGTATGTGTTGTAGGAAAGAGACCCACAGCAGTTTAGGCTGAAGGTATGGTTTACGTTGCTTCAGTGGATGAAACAAGGGTTCATAAGCACTAATTTTTACCCCTATTTATTTGTACTTCTCTTCACTTTGCAAATGGCATTTTGCCATTTCTTTTAAACCATTTCTTTTTAACTTATTAAAATTCTCTCTTGGGAATGAGAATGAGTGACGTGTTTAGATTTGGCATACATCAATTTAAATCTGAGGTCATTTTTTTTCTATCTCCATTGAGTTGAATCTGAAATATATGAATGCACCTTTTGAAAATTGTTCAGCCTACATTAGTTATGCTGAGCATGTATTTGCTAATTTGTCTTATTACTTTAAAAGAGTGTTATGTATCACTGTTATACAGAGAAAATAATAAAATTAAGGAATTCTTTTTTGGTGCAGGTATTCTGTTACCAGAAGCAAAGTGTTCAGTATTGATGACAATGGCACAATCATCGCAACTAACCCTCTTGATCGAGAGATTAGCGCTTGGTACAACCTCAGCGTTACAGCCACAGAGAAATGTAAGTACTCCTTTGGGAACCACAAGTTGGTTCACCATATTTTTTAAACCACTCAATAATCTCTATGTAGTGACAAAAGCTAGCTTAAAATGTTGTTGGAATGAGAGTTAAATGACATTTTATGTCAATTCATACATGTATTTTATTACTTTAATGTTCGTTCTTATTACAGCTTGTTTATATACTTGCTATTAAATATCTTTTAAAATATTTTTTATTATGACAATAAATAATGTTTCATGCAAGCAACAAGTCATGGAAAATTCAGAAAAACAAAAGAATGAAATGAAAATCACCTGAAATTCCAAAACTTATTTGTTATATAATTGTATGTTCTTAGGACATTTTCATGGATACATTTTCATATCAATATATAAAAATTGAATATAAATTTTTCAATTTTTTTCTTACTGGACTATATTATATATATATATATATATATATATATTTATGTTCTTTAAGGGTTCCTTTTTAAGTTATGATTTTAATGAACAAAGAAAGTCTTTTCTACATTCCAAAGAAAATATCCACTCATAAGAGATAGTTATAGGTGGAAAGAAGTTATAATGATTATTTCATTGGAATCTTTCTATTAGAGCAAAATTTTTAATTTAGAGAGAAGTTTAATGGTGTACATGTTTTACTAACATACAAATGGTAGTAAAACTAATGAGTGGAAATTAAGATTTTAAATTTTAAATAATTTAAAATTAACTAGTAATGTTGTACCATTTAACCATAATCAGGTTAGACTGACTCTGTTAGTCCATAAGGAGACTACTTTAGAAGTCAAGCACTGAATGGCTGTGCCTTGTTCTGTTTCTAGAATAAAATGTTAATAGTCTTGCACATTAGAGACAAGGTGACACTCCAAGGCAGGCTTTTAAAACTTAGGCATTTAAAAATAGTCATATTTCAATGAAATTATGGGAAATAATATGAAGGATTCAAACAAAAAAAAATTTATTGATTGTACATCACAAAAACAGTAACACATTTTCAAATTAAACTCATAGTGTCAGCTGTGCTGATTGTCACATCTTCATTAGGAGTGACCAGGTTTTTTCAGAGATAGGCAAATGATTCCATTTTCAGATTGTAAAAAGTAGATAAAATCATCCTGATTTATCGCTTGGATAGTGTCTTCAAAATTATCAATCAATCATTTATTAAATAATTGTATTAATTCAAACTCAAAGAAATAGATATAACACAATGTAAAAATTATCAAAATCATTCCCATTATTTAGCCCATAAATTTAATATAGTATAGTAAAGGAGTAAATTTGTGAATATGAAATGTTTTAGAATACATCCTTTCATATAACTGATTTTGCATAGAATTCTAATAATCTTGTTTACATTCTTGGCTTGTTTTTTGAAAGCATTAAACATGTATCTCATGCCTCACTTTAGTGAACAGTTTGCTGGTGATACAGCAGTGTGGAAAGCAACTTGTGTATTTTTTGTGGTGCATTGAATAGCTCTATGGAAACACTGCAGGAGGACTGGGTCTGGCTCTTGAGTTTTCCATTTAACTAAACAATAAAGGATGGGGAGCAAATATTACAAGGAAATAAATGTTGGCTGCAACAGAAGAAATGCCAAGGCTTTTGGTGTCAGAAAACACAAAGGTGCTTATTCTAAAAGCAAAAAGCTTTTATTCATTGGGTCTTTCTGAGTGAAGGGGAGTTCACGAGATGATTCCACTTTTGAATAAATTTTAAAGAATATGGTCCTGTTGTGCTGAAGTATGTTAACAGTGTGATTATTTTAAAAAATAAATGTGCTCTTGAAACGGTAAAGCCAGAATATATTTATATTGCAATTATCATTTTATATTTGCAGATAGTAAAACAAAATACATGTAACATTTTAAAAAATTAATTAATGGACTTGAAAACATTTTATATTCTCTTGAGGCAAAACAAGTAAATAAGCCTTCAAAGTGAAAAATTCAAGGGAAAAATAGAATAAAACGTGAGATTTAATAAAAGTAGATATGTAATTTTAGATACAGAATTTCACAAAATGTGATTAGATCAACATTGAAGGTGATCTCTTGAAGCAAAAACTATCAATTTATTTAGTAAATTTTTAAACTTACAATTTGTTTGATTATTGAATATTGTATTAAAAAATAATTTATAAATAAAAAGCTAAAAATACCAAAGAAAAAAATTAAATGCCTGTGAAAGGCAAACTGAATGTTTATTTATTTTACATAGAATTTAGCACGTAGGAGTTTAATCACTGTTTCAGAGAAAAGTGATTTTAGAAATTTTATCAAGTGTGACAATTATACAGTTCATGCAGATCTGCTCCTGGTACTATATAATTCGTTTTCTAAGAGTTAAAAAAAATAGCCAAAGAGATTTGATATTTGATATTCTCATTATTATTTTTATGATAGGGCTGAAAAGTTACAGAATGGGGGATGAAATTTCAAAGTAAAATATAATTAGATAAGTATTTTCAGAAACCCACTAAGTTAATGTTCATTTCACTTATCTTTGAAGATATATTTTTGAAAATTTTTGTTTCATTTTAGGAGAAAAGTGGTTAGAAAGAGCTTTTGCAAGATTGAGTAACCAATTTTCATGTATTTTTTTCTTTTCTCTTTAATTTTTAAATCTACATCATTAAGGTCATTTTAGAACAATTTTGGAGAAAATATTTTTACGTGCAAATTTCTTATCAGTGTGATGTCAGTATCAAAAATAACTGACCATTGAAGTCTGTGTAGTAATATAAACAAACCACTTGAAGAATGGAAAAGAGAGCATCACACCAGGTTGTTATAAGAACATTTGCTGGGGCCGGAGTACTGGTTAAGTTCACATTCTCCACTTTGGCAGCTTGAGCTTCATGGGTTTGGAACCTGGGCACGGACCTGCATGCCACTCATCCAGCCATGATGTGGCAGTGTCCCACATACAAAGTAGATTAAGATTGGCATGGATGTTAGCTCAGGCACAATCTTCCTCAAGCAAAAAGAGGAAGAAAGAAAAGAAAAGAAAAAAAACCCTGCATGTGATACTACCTTGAAGCTTGCAGCATAAGAGTTTTGCTGATTATAAGAAAGAGATGTTCCGCTTAATGTTTGTTTTCCCAGCAGGTGAAGTTATTTGTGCTAAGTCTTTTTCTCGGAAAGCTTCCCAAATTAAGCACCAGGCTATTTATCAGCATGCCAGCTAAGTGGATAAAATTACTGACTAGTCTAAAACGAAGCTGTGAAGATATATGAATATTTTGTACAGTCATGCCAAAGGTTTAATTTGAACTTAATTTTAAACAAATTTTGCAGGAAAAATATAAAAACTTTAAATGAATTTCTTAGTAATTTTCCCTAAATTTTTTTGGATCTGAAATACTCTTTTGAATTTACTTACTTAAGCAAAAAGTTGTTCTATGGTGATATATTATGTGTTTAAACCATAAAAAATATGAGCCTTAATTTTGAATAATTCCATTTTGAAATCTTTAGAAATACCTTTTCATATTTTAATGTTTTATTTATTTTCATCCTGAATGTAACAAAATACAGGAGAGTTTTGAAAGGATAATTTCTAATGGTTTCAGTATTTACTGAAGGCCATGGACTTTTCTGTTGTGCAATAAACCTTGTGGATTTTAATATTCAATTAATCAGAAATTGCAATTTCTATCATAAGTAAAACTGTTATTTATTGGCCAAAGTAATTATAAACAAAATCTCATCCTAAACCAGAAAACCTTTCCACAAAAGTGGAATAAAGAGAAAACAGTTTTATAATTGAAAAGCATTAAACCAGAATGTGATGTGCATCACAGGAAGTCGCTAAGAGATTGCTAAGACAGAAAGAAAATTCACCTTTGTATACAGCAGCAGACACAGTCCATTCCATGCACCTTCTCAGGATAAACAATTATTAGCTTTCAAGTAGGAGGACTTAACACAATTTGTCAGAGATAGTTCATCCTAAATTCACTAAGTAGTTGGAGGGACCATTTGTATTTGCTGATTGGCCTTATTCAAATGAAAATTAAACTATTCATACCTTTATGACAAGAGGTAGTTTGCAACTTGTGTGAAAGCCTTTGGTGACGTTTAGGCTCCTACACTTGCAGAGAAACTGGGAGGGCAGTGTACCATCTTCCTGGATGATTACATTTCAAAGAGATGGTTCCCAGTACTTGAGAAGACAAGCCTGGGCTTCAAAGCTGGCAAGAGGTTTACTTAGCATTTAAAAGATTTACATACTTTTCATAAGGATAGAGAAAGAAGTTACAAGTTTTCTAATGTAACTGCTCTAAGAAGAGGAAGGAGAGAAAGTTGTTTCCCTTATTTTCAACAGAGAAAACTAAGCCTCTTTTTTTTTTTTAATTTGTATGTGGCCAAACTACAATTGCAAATATAATTTTTCATTAACAAAATGACCTGTGGATTATAAATAAAGGCATTAAGACAAATAAAAGAACGTCCCTCTTCCCGCTCATTAATGTATGCTCCCTTCCATGGCTTTTTTAATTAAAGAAAGAAAGAGGGACCAGCCTGGTGGTGTAGTGGTTAGGTTCACATGCTCTGCTTTGGCAGCCTGGGGTTCACCGGTTCGGATTCTGAGTGTGGACCCACACACTGCTCATCAAGCCATGCTGTGGTGGTGTCCCACACACAAAATAGAGGAATATTGGAACAGATGTTAGCTCAGGGCCAATCTTCCTCAAGCAAAACCAGGAAGATAGGCAACAGATGTTAGCTCAGGGCCAATCTTCCTCAAACAAACAAACAAACAAACAAAAAAAGAGATAGAGAGAGAGAGAAAGATTTGAAATAATAAAATATAATTACACAATATATTATGCTACCACTTGCTTTTTTATCATTTCACAAAAAAATCGTATCTATAACTTCTGGTTAGTAGATAAAATAAAGTAACATTTGATATTTATTGCTCCACTTATGTGCTCTGTAATCTGGATGCTTTACGTGTGTTAATTCATTGAATCTCTAGACTAGATCTATAAAGTAGTCACCAGTATCATTTCCATTTACAGAAAACTAACCAAACAAACAGTGGTTAAGCGTTTCTCTCAAATTGAGAACCAAGATTAAAATCCAAGTAGTCCAGGGGTTTGCCCAGTGGCATAGCAGTTGGGTTTGTGGGCTCTGCTTGGGCAGCCTGGGGTTCAGTGGTTTGGATCCCAGGTGTGGACCTACACACTGCTTATCAAGCCATGCTGTGGCAGGCATCCCACATGTAAAACAGAGGAAGATGGGTGTGGATGTTAGCTCAGGGCCAATCTTCCTCAGCAAAGGGAGGAGGATTGGTGGTGGATGTTAGCTTGGGGCTAATCTTCCTCCAAAAAAGGAAAGAATCCGAGTAGTCCAATTTTAAAGCTTACAATATTAATAAATGTGTTACAGTGACTCACTTATTTTTAATCAGCACACAGAATTTCATAGTATGGTTGTAACTTATTTTTGTCAGTTCCATTTTGCTATATATTTGGGTTGTATCCAGTCATTTGGGTGTGATGCAAGCAATTCTGGGATAAATAAATTGGATCATGTGCTTTTATACACTGTTGCCTTGAACTGTAGCATAAGTTTTCCAAAACTAATTACTTGGTCAAAGATACGTGTAGTTTAATTTTTGCTATCAATTGCCAAAGTAGGTTTTAGAAAAGTTTTCTCCACCATCACTGGTTGTTTTTCATAATTAACACAAATCACATGGACTAAATCATCAATCTCCCCTCTTCTGGTGAGCAAGAGCCTTTGTGAATATTATGATAGAGGAACATATCTCAGCTGTAGTCAGCTTTGCCCCCAGGGTGTCTTTGACAACATTGGACGACAATTTTGGTCATTACCACTAGGGTGGGGATTCTACTGGCATTAGCTTTTAGAGGCCAGGGATGCTGCTAAGCATCCTACACTGCACAAGACAACCCCCCAAAACAAGAATTATCCAGTCCAAAATACCAATAGTGACAAGGATGAGAAACCCTGTTAGAGATCATTATAATTTTCTCATCTGTGAAGTTCTAGTTTGTGATTTTCTTTCCCTGAATTTTCTTTCTCAAATCAATTGTCAGGATTTGAATATCAGAACTGTGAATATTTCATCTTGTGATGCAAACATTTTTGCAGATCACTGTTGTTTTGTCTTTGCTCTTCTTACATTTGTTTTGCCATTTAAAAAATGTATTTGGGAGCCAGCCCCATAGCGTAGTGGTTAAGTTTGAGTGTACTCCACTTTTGCGGCTCAGGTTCGCAGGTTCAGATCCTGAGTGTGGACCTACACCACTCATCAGCCATGCTGTGGCAGTAAACCACATATAAAGTGGAGGAAGATTGACACGGATATTAGCTCAGGGCTAATCTTCATCAAAAAAAAATTGTGTTTAACTATATCTTCCTATTTCTTCATGATTTCCGTATTTCTTGGCTCACTTAAGAAAAATCTTTCCAACTGAATATATACATAAAATTTTGCCTAGATATTATTATAATTCTTTTATTTTAAAATGTATTGAGATCATTATACCACGTCCAGTCTTGTTTTTAAAAACTACGCTGAACAATGCCATCATCTAAGGACACTGATTACTGGCTTCTTAACTGCCTTGTCCACTTCAGCTGTGACTTTAGGCAAATCATTTAACTATAATCTGTAAAACTAAATGCTTTCTTGATGTTTTTATCTGTAAAGTTGGTGAGAAAAGTAATACATATATTCATCAGTATTAAATGAGTTAGTACAAACACATTCAATAGTTCCTGGATTCTAGAAAATTGCCCATATACCTGACTTCCTTACTGCTTTTCCTCATCAGCTCCTGCAGTCTATGGCAGGCACAAGGCACTCAATAAATGTTGGTTGAATTGAATGCATTGAGAAGAATGTTTTTTCCCTAGGCTGTATTGTTGATGAATATATTAATTATATGGAGATACTGTCTTCAGATAGCTTTTATTCGCATAAAGTAAAAGTATTCCACACAACCTAAGTGCAGTTTTCATGACCTTTCCCCGAAAAACAGCATTAATCTTCTTTATTTTATTTTGTTTATTCAATTTGCAGACAATGTACAACAGATTTCTGCAGTCCCTGTGTATGTGCAAGTTCTGAATATTAATGATCACCCTCCTGAGTTCTCTGAATACTATGAGACTTTCGTTTGTGAAAATGCAGCCTCTGGGCAGGTAAGAACCCATAATAAATTGCTGACGTCTAAACATTGCCATATATTATGTATAATAACTTTTGCTATGTATTCCATTCTGAAATGACAAAAATAAGCTTTATTTAGCTACATTAATTACACACTTTTATGTTTATGTTGTAAGTTCTGTGTAATTTAAATTTCTTTCTTTTTTAAAAAAATAAATGTAAACGTCAAGTTTTCCACTTCCAAATTCCTTAAGTGTTTGAAAAATCTGCGAACACTAGGGATTCAATGGTAAATTCTTTATACTTGGTCAATACAATAAAGAAGAAAATATTTTGTAATTCTATAGATTAAATAATTGTAATTAACTTTTATTTTTTCATCCATGATGACAATAAAGATAAAATGATATATAAGCATAAGCACATGGAAAGAAAGAGCTGGAATTCTTCTGTGACTTATAACCGCTGTATCAGACATACTACTACAAATGAAACTCAATTTCAAATAAATTACTAAGTATGTAAACCTTATGAGAGCATACTCATTTTGAAATACATCATCATTACTTCACAATTTATTTCGCACATTTTCTCATGTGAAGCTCACCTTTTTCATTTGTGAAATTTAGAGTTTAAATCAGATTGTTCTTTGAATATTTCTCCGTTCCAGTACACGATAGCCTCACATTTTTCTTAGGTGTCCTTTGAGGATGTAGAAGCCTACCAAATGTCACAGAAAATTTTTCAAAATTTATAAACCAGTTTTTAGAATACTGAATAAATGTATATGTATACTATGAACTTCATTATTCTAACTAGACTTGAATTTATCAACAAAGCTGTCTGGAGACAATTTGAGCTCTACAAAAGTGCAAATTATAATTTTCTACCAATAAATCGTAGTAGCCTACACTATGCTTTATGTTCAATTTCCTAATATGGTAAGAAATAGGCATATCTTAAGAAATAGGTATACCTTAGTTGTTAGGCTTATTCAACCATAACATATTGGAAATCAGCAATGATTCTTAAAATATCTTGTGAAATTTATTTGGCTATGGTTATGTCAGAATACATTTTATTTTGGAAATAACTCAAATCTTCTAAGTATTTCTAAAAATATTTTTGAAAGTAATAATAAAGTGATTAGAAATACATAAATGAATTTAAACTTAAACTACTTCTTTTGATTGGGTTAGGACCTAGGGTTTTTGATAAACCTAAAGGTGAGTATAAAACTCTCAGAGATTCTCTTCTGCGTGGCACTGCCCCCTCAATCCAAAAGCATACTCCTTTAGAAACCTGTGGACCTGCAGCATAGGGAAGAAGGAATTGCAAAAGCAGAGTGCAGGTGAACCGGGACCTATGGCTCCTCTAGAAACTAGGCCTAGACATTTCTTTGACCTTGGCATTATAAATAGCTTATATATTTAGGAATTTAACGTATCTGATTTTCTGAACATTTCAAACATATCTTGTGACCTCGACATATCAATAAGCAATTTTTTAAAAATCGCCAAAATAATTCTGGTGAATCTAATAAAGGATAGTTTAAATGTAGTAAACTCATTTTCTTAAAATTCAAGTAATTTTGGACGTAATTGATCTTACAATTTTCTAAGCTATACATATTACATTTACATATTTAAGGTAAATTATATATTTCTAATTATTATAAGTACAATTATGTTTTATAGTTATTTAATTATTTATATCAAATTTAAAGTATAGAACTTGTAATGAGTATATTATTTTATATAGTTTACATAAATATGAATGTATTCAGAGTATCCCATTGATTAGATAACCTATTTCCAATCTTAAAAACATAGGCTTAATTTACTTCATCTTCTATAGACTTGTTTCTGTAAACGTCCTGGGTAAATCCACTTACCCAACAAAGGTGAGTGTTCAGTAGTCTCACCTGGACTGAGCTGGCAGAAGATTTGGGAAGGCAACACAATTTATCTGATAAGAGCCTTGAGACCAGAGTTCTCGCCCTGGGTGATAAATACTTCTAGGATGATGCTACTTAATACCAAAGATCACACTGGACCATTTATTCTAAGTCCTCAGCTGTTGATAATAACAATTATAATTAACAGTGTTGGTAATAACCTTTTCAACTTGCATCATGTGAAAAGACGGACATATACATTCCTAGTAATACATTCACTATTGCATTAGAGTTCTTTCATATCTTGACAGACTGAGTGGATCTCTCATTCTTTTCAGGAGATCCTGGCTCCTAAGCAAGAATTCAGCAGGCAGTATGTTTGTAATGTGGTGGAATATTCACCTTTTTTGAGAAACAATATGTATTTTTTCTACTCACTGATTACCAACAGTGACACCACAATCATAGAAAGCTTTGGGAATTAGGCACAGATGAATTGATAGCAGAGGGCAGAGCAGATGAAATTTCCTACAGCACAGTTTTCTGACTTCAATGCTCAAAAACTTCAATAGCTTTCCCAAAACCAGCACATAAAAGTGCAAAACTTGCTGGCCTGGTATTTAGCACTCTCTTTGATTTGGTCACAATTTTATCTATCCTGCTTTAAAAAAAAATCATCTTGTTCACACTCTGAACTGCTTGTTTGTCAAAATGTAGACTACACTTTCCACTTTATAGTTTTTCTCATATGAACCCTTCTTTCTGAAATGCCTCTGTCTATTCCTAGGAAAATTTTAACTAACTCGCAAAACTGAACTTCAATATCACATAAATAATCAAATCATTTTTAAACAAATGTATGTTTACAGTGTTCCAGACATGATTCTAGCAACATTCTGAACATTAACCCATTTAATTCTCAAAAAAGTATGTGAGGAAAATATATTGCATGCCTCACTTTATGAGTGAAGAAATTGAGGCTCAGAGAAGTCCTGAGGAAAGACAGAGAAATGTTTTAACTTAAGTGCTGGCATCAGAATCCATGCATGTAACCACTATATTTTGCAATTGTCTCTGTTCCTAGTTTAAATAGATCTTATACATTTGTCAAATAAGTAATCTCTAGTTGTTCATGTTTTCTAGATTATAAGATACTTGCGAACAATGAGAGAGTTTATTTTGATATCATTGATAACATGCAGTGTGGCTCCCAATAATAACTAATTGAATAAATGAACAGAACATGAAGACACTATTTCTCAAAACAATGGTATTTTTTTCTATAATTCTCTGGAGATATTCATTTGAATTTGTCGGCCTTATACATGCTATTTAAAGCCTTGGTGAGATCCCTTAAGGAGAATATGTGGACAGAGAAAAGAATAAGCCTAAAGACTGAGACGTGGACTACAATATTAAGTGTTTGGGGCTTGAGGAAAAACCAGAAAACAAAATTTGTAAGAAGCAAACCAGGAGAGTGTGGTGACCTAGAAACAAGATAAAGAAAGTGCTCCTGGGAGGATGGAGTTGTTACCTGTTTTGTTTGCTGCTTACAGGTCAGATAAAAGCAGAAAAGAAAAGATTCTGTTAAATTTAACAGTAGAAATTTTGGACTTACTAGAGTATTTGTAGTTAACAAAATATATAGCATCACCCAGGAAGTAAATATAAAGTGAGAATATGAAAAGACATAGGACAGAGCCTTTGGGAACAGTAATATTTAAGGATTTGGTAAAGGAAGGGAAGATTGCAAAGGAGGCCGACTAGGTACGACCAGTGATGTAGGAAGGAACGGGAAGATTTTGGGCATTAACATTCATGGAGTTGATAGTTTTTGAAAGAGGCAGTGTCAATAGCCTTAATTCTTGCTAGTCCAAGAAAAAAAAAATACTTTCGTATTTTACCATATGGGCAACTTTACACTTTAAAAATAAGTAATTTTATAAATAATTCATAGCAATATAAATAGTGACAGTGCAAAACGACTTTATTAAAATGTGGCCAAGAGAAATTGCACCGGACAGTTACTAAGAAGGATAAGGAGGATGTGATTCAAGATTATTGCAATGAGGGTCAAGACTGCTGCAGTAGGTGGGAGGGATGAGCTTAACTCTGGGGAAACAAAAGGCAGGAGGGTTTTCAAGCACTGCGGTGAACTAGTGGAAAAGGACTGGAGGACACATCAGGAGGGAGATTGGTCAATGTAGTTACACCTTCTGTGTCTGCAAATTGGTTCTTACGCAAGTTAGGCTTCTACCCTCCTACAGAGACTGGGAGACAGGGCTCTATCTTTCTTGATGATTACATTTCAACACTTGGTTTCCAGGTTCTAGGGAAAGACCATCCTGCATTATAAAATGGGGAGATTTGGGGAGAAGATTTATCTGCATTACAAAGGGCAGAGAAAGAATTTGCAATTATAAGTTTTCTGGTGTAAATGCTCCAAGAAAATGGAGGTCAGGAACCTCTAGTCAGGAGAAAATCTGTCTAAAATTGAGTCAATCTGAGGGGAATGTTATGGCCTTCTTGGTCAAATGTTAATAAAATATTTGTCAATATATAATGCTTCCAGAAGGTTTAAAACTCTTTTACAACTCATATTTTTGTTGAAGGAAGAATGGCTGTTTTCTTTGCTCTATGATTACAAAGCATTTAATCTTTAGATTTATAAACAGCAAATGGAATAACAAACTTAAAAAGAAATTCTATTGCATCTCTTTCCATCAAGTCACATTTGGATATATTCTGCCTTCAGCACTTTTCCATTTACAAGATAGAGCAAATAGATTTTGGTGCAGAAATTTTATAAAAGGTGAAAAAATACTGACATTTATTTTTCGCAAAACAGAACAGCTCAGATTCTTATGAAAAATTATTTGAAGTCCTTCCTGTTGAATGACTGAACGGATGATTACTGTATTTTCTCTGTATCCTTAGAATCATATTGTTCACTCTCTGATTCTTGATTTTGAGAAAATTCATCTGTTATATCTTCATCTGAAGACAAATAGTCTGAAATTTTGCTTGCATTATCAGTTTCACCATCATCTTGAGTCTATAGTGCTGGTTTCTGCTTTTGGTATTCATCCAATTCATCTAAAAATTATGAAATATCTTCTGCAGTCAATTTTATTT